CCATTCAGCTTTTCATATTCAGTATTTCGAACAGCATAATAATAAGTCACATCAATCATTACATGTATTCATGAAAGCCGATTGCCAAATGGCAGAAATACAGATTACAGAAAGGTTATCACCACGGCCGCGTCCACTCAGGAATAAATCAAACTTTCGATAAAAAAAGGACCAGGCTGGCGGTTGAAGCGGCCACTCTCACCGTGCCGAAACTTTAAGACGTTGAATGCTCCTACTCGGTGCTCACAAACTCGCTCATCGAGCCATCAGGGCGCTGCGGTTTAGCGCCCGCTGCAGGGGATGAACAAGAAACACCCGAAAAAAAGACTAGGCTGGGCGCTGGCGGTCGGGGCGGCCGCTCGCACCACAGGTACCCAACACGTTTAGGCGCTGAGCACTCGTGCTCACAAACTCGCGCATCAGAACACTGCGGTTCAGCGCCAGCAGCTCGCGTCCGTACGTTGCACAGATCGCCAGATGGTTAAAACGAGCCTGGCCGGTAGATGTGCGGAGAGAAATTTCCAGTCGTCTCATCAGACTGAACGACCCAACGACCGTTCTGCCATGCAGCTTGTGACTGGCGTGGTCAACGCCAGTTGCACCAGCTGGGCCGCCTCCGGGATCAGATCTTCCAGCTCTGGAAGCATCTTTGCGGGTTGCTGCAGCGTGGCAGGCCTCCGACCCATGTCATGCATGAAGTGCAGGTCGAGGTCAACCCGATCCACCCGTCGTCCCTCCGCCACGTCTCGCCAGTGCCGCCTCCACTCCTCGCAGGACCGCGTCATCTCCATCAAAGAAACCGTGATGGGGGAGGTAGCCAGCCCATCCATAGCCGCGACCGTTAGGCATCTTCTGGCGTTTTCGGCTGGCTGACATCTCCGGTCTCCCGCAGCTTGGCCGGCTTCCTGATGGCCCGCTTGAGACGGGGCTCCTCCGGGCTCAGCTCCTCCGCCTCCGCCACACAGTCGAGCCACAGCTGTCGGAACGGCACGTTCTGACTCTGGGCCAGCTCTGCTGTCTTCAGGAGCTCCACTTTCTTGAGGACCTCGCCGATGCTGCCCCTTGGCCTGGATGGCTCTGATTGTGGGCGTCACCAGCTGGTACAACCGCAGGCCGAGACGGACGAGAAAGAAAAACTTAAAGTCCTCCATGGCGCGCTTGTAGTCACGGGCTTAGGCGGCTGGCTCCGTGGGCATGGCTGGGTCCTGTTCGATGGCCGCCAGTGTGGCCATGATCGGAGACCAGTTGGACACGGGAGAATGAAGACTTCTCTCGTTGCATGTCCACCGGGTTTTGCAGAAGGAGCAGGCCTGTGCTTCCTCCTGCTCTTTTTCGAGCATGGCCAAACGCTTGGGTGAACCTCGGATGAACTCAATCACTCCTGATGCCTCTCCCACAGCGCTCTTCAGCTTCGGAGTGACAGCAGCTAGTGTGGCCAAGGGCGAGGCGGTGAGCCGCAGAGTGCACGAACGCAGCCACGGAGAAGCACCAGACTTGGAAGGGCAGTGCCAAGTTTTTAGGTTTTGGTTTTTTGTATTTATTGTTTCTAGGGGTTGCATCTATATCTATTGGGGTTGTGCTTTGACAGGGGTTGCATCTACAGCCCCATGTGTATATAAACTTACGCATGTGGATGTGAATATATTTGGCACCGCAATGCATATACACAATGATTGAAAATATGATGCCCTGCCGAAGACCTGACACAAGCTTTTTGTCCCACTCCCAGTGCCTCAATAATTGACGGATCAAAATGGTCCAAAGTTTGGAATTAACAATATGCGACCCTTTTCCGCATATCGCCGTTATGGCACCTTGCGCCCGCAGCAGCGTTTTTTTCTGCATGCCAGCATGCGCGTGCCACATGAATTCCCGTCCTGTTTGGGCATGGAGCTGGGAACCACCAGCCGCCATCTGCAGTCCAGTCCTGTCGGACAGGGCCTCGGTCGGCCGCTTGCTTCCCGAATCAGCTGCCGCGCTGCAGTGACGTCTTTGTCCTCCGGAGCCCCGACAGGGAATTCGTGTGCACATACGTACTATCCTTCTCGTGTACTGCAAGACCACAAAGCGCGGCCAGTCTACCGACGCTGTTTTCGGGTAGAAGCGAAATAGTTTATCATGTAGGAGCCTTCTCGCGAGGGCTTAGGTGGATCGAAGGTGGGCACAATTAGGAACGTGTGGTCTACCGAAATGCGTTGGAGCACTAGACATGGGGTAACCAGCGGCGAACAAAGCAAATCGATTGCCTTCTCGTCTAGTCACGATGTACCGTAGAGGCTTTCTAATGCCGGAAGCGTAGCGAAATTCTGCAGTGCTTCTGATGTGCTTCTGATGTGACATCTCGTTTTTTTTTTCTCCTTCAAACCTGGCCGCTTGATTGGAACGGGCGTCTGGGTCACTTTGTGCAGGAGCTGGCAGGAGGCAGCAGCTGCATCTTCGTCTTTCCGATAACGTAAGCCGTACGTTGGAAGTCCTTCACTAGCGATTCCGCCATCCCTCCACAGCATTCGCGATCAACATTTTTTCGATCTCGACATCTTGGACTGGTTTTGAGCATCACTTTTTTCTTTTTGAAATCATGTTAACCCGCGACCCGTTGGAGGGTGGGCCCAAAGGATTCCCCTGTGGTTTTTCGCATTCATTCATTCATTCATTCATTCATTCATTCATTCATTCATTCATTCATTCATTCATTCATTCATTCATTCGTTCATTCGTTTATTGACCGTGGGTAATGGTATGGGGGAGACACAAACGCAAACATGGCATTTTAAAAACCGATGCAAGCAATACAGGATAAAATACATTAAAAACAACCCTCAGTCCATCTATGATCTCTAGCGGTTCGGCGCGGCTTAGGCTAACCGCTCGTGGGGCCTTGGAACCATCTCGGCTCCGGGCCTATATATTTAGAAAGCACATATAACGCGCAAGCTAGGGCACAAGACATAACGCGCAATCGGCAATCGATGCTCGATGTACCGGCGGGCACACTTGCCCTAAGGGTACAGACGATGCGTTCGGCAGACGGCAGACTCTACATTAGGGCTTTAATAAGGATGATCTAGCTGGGAACCGTCAGTATATATTTCTGAATGTCAAAACTTTAAACTGATACCACTCGATTACTTAACACGTCGATGGGTTGACACGTGTAATTATTTTTATTAACACGGGGGTTTGACAGGTGGGCTTCATTCGCATTAGTGCAAATATAGTACTGGTGGCTGGGCTGGGGAGGGGAAGAGACAGTACCTGCAAGGAATCCAACGCCTCCATTGCCACTGCTGGGTTGCTCCGCTTCGGTAGGTGGAGGATCATCAGGATCGTTACTCTCAGGAAGCGAGCTGGGGAGTTCGTAATGACATTAGTATCAGAGCACAAAAAAGATCAGTGCTGTTTAGGAAATAAAGTTAAAAACGAGCAATAAGTAGTGTTTCAAGCATATAACAGTGAGCATTTACCAGCAACATGTGTCGCAATTAAATGCAATGCCTATTACCCAGAGAACAATCAGTTTTAGAACAGTCCACCTGCTTGAGGTCATGATCACATGGTGCTAACGACTCACCTCTGCTGCGCAGAGATGCCTTGTCCTGCAGCACTTTCACCACCTCCATGAGGAGGTAGGTACAGGAATTGCAGATGAGGACACACTGGAAAATAAGGACAACATGACAAAAATGGATTTAATGAGCCAACAGGTATAAAGTTACAAGCAAGGCTGCGGAGTCGGGAGTCGGTCGCGTCCCGACTCCCGACTTTTTAACCAAAGTACCACCGTATAACCAAACCAAAGTCCGGCCGTATACACACGCGGCCATGAGTGTGTTTACTATTTCGGAATTCGGACTTAAAGTTCTGCTATAGACCAGCAATTGCGCGATCAGAGAGTAGATGGCATGGCACGGCCAACGCAGCAAGCTGTTTAGCCGGGAGGGGGCGGGGGGGGGGGGGGCTCTGTCCTTGTAAATCCTTCCGGCTTCCATTCATAAGGTTCAGGCTAACTCCCTGAAAAAAAACTAAAGGGACAAAACATTGAGAGCAAAAAAAAAAAATGAAAACCCATCCCTGTCTGGAATCTAACAATGACTTCACCATCACTAAAAAGAACAGGACAGGAACAGTTAACCTTAGTATCCACTGTTCCAACATGGAAAATGCTCTTTAACCCGCGCCTCACTGGGGTCTGCGTATAACGCGCCCTACTGGGGGGGGGGGGGGGGCTCTTCATAGCCCCCTCCTAACTCCGAAACTGCTGGGCCGATCGTCAAAATTCAAACGGCGTCTGATATCCCCGGAAAAACTCTAGCGAAACCTAATTTCATTGACCTCGAGGTCACCGATGACGTCACAGGTCAGGTCAAAGTAAAAAAATATTAGCATTTTGGCTTGTTCACATTTTGGGCTCTGGCCGCCGTCTTACTAGTCAGATCAGTCTGATTTTTGGTTTACACACTCGTGAACAGATGCTTTAGATATCCTGAGGGTACCAAACTTGTACTTTGATTTTCAGGTCAGGGTCAGCCGTCAGGTCATCACAGGTCACGGAAATATGAATAGCCCCCCCCCCCCCCCAGTGGGGCGCGGATTAAAAAACGCCCACCCATAATTTACATAAAACTAGTATGGGAACACTTCCTGATTTCACAATATTCACTACTCACTTCTCTTGCTGCATAGAGGTACTTCCTCCTCCAGCAGTTTCACCACCTCCATGGACAGGTATATACAGGGGCTTGAGAGGACTCCCAAGCATGGGACGTTTAACATTCACAACCAGGGAATTAGCAATTATGAATTGTGACCTGGGGCATGTTTTTTATTTACGGCTCCTGCTGAACTGAACCCCTGCTGGACCCCTGCCGCACTTCTCCGGCCGCACTAACCGCTACCGCCGCCGCTGCCGCTACCGCCGCCGCTGCTGTCATGCCGCCGGGCGGGCGGGCGGGAGTGAGGCGCGGGGCCCCGGCCGCCGGCCGCGCCCTCGGCCGCCGCACATTCGACGTCCGACCTCCGCTGCGGCAGGGTGGCGCCGGTCCGGGCAGTCAGTGCGGGCACCGAGTCGGCCCCAGTGGGCCCCGCAGCGCTTCAGGACATCCGACTGGGCGGATTTTGGTGAAAAGCGGGGAATTGTAGAGTTTGGAAAGTATGTGTGGTATCTTGTGCTGGGGTGTTTGTGTGTTGTTTTTGTTAGGTGGGGTATATGGTGGGGAGGTGTTTTCAGTGTTTTTGTGATTGTAGTGTAGTGTTGCTCGCACTGGATATATTCCGAGTGGTGTTTGTGAGTTATGCATCGGTGATTGTGATTGTTTGCAATTGGTGCGTTTCGAAATGAGGTGTTGAGTGTCCGTTTGCTAGGTGGTATTTGGGTGGTATATGTTATGTGTTACTCTTCACGATGAATGTTGGCGTATATCGTTCAATAAGTGCCGGTGAAGATGTTTTGTTTTGTGTGCTTTGTGCGCAGTGTTCTTCGTGACCGTGAAAGCTCCACGATTAACCCTGCACCCTGCATCATTGGTGTGAATCAATGAGCCGTTCCATCTTGCCTCCTGTGCCATTGCCTCCCTATCGACTGTCGTCTCTGCTGTGTGCCGCCTCAGTGCCCGCTGTCACTCCCTGGCTGCTACCCCTCTGCCTGCATTCTCCCACCCACAGCCTCCCTCAGGGCCAGAGATACACCGCACCCGCCCCGGTTTACTGCTGCTGTGTTCCGCAGGCACGCGTCGGTCGTAAAATCTGCAGCAATTGGCTCTTCATAAACCATTTGTCGCTCAACGACTTCCTTCCTCTTCGCTCGTCCAGTGTAGTAACACCGTGAGTGAAATGATGCGAGGGCCAAAGTTGTCCTGAAAGTGGTTGTAATCTTCAAGTGAGTCAAAATAGACTTGTTTTGAAATTGGTGTAGTAGTTATGGGTAATGCTTCAGTTTTAGTAGTAGTTTAAGTAGTTCAGTTTTTGAGGGGTTTGTGGTCGGGATCAGTGCATTCGTCTTGCAAGTTCGGGAATATTGGGGCCGTTTCCCAAAGTCCACTTGCCCATAGTAAATGGACTTGGGCAAAAACGTTAAAACGTTTATTATTACGTTTTATTGTTCAACGCCTTCTGCGTTGCAGTATCGCCGTGCGATGTTGTCGCTGGATGCTCGTGTCTTCCTGCAGTATCAATGTCAGGTGCAGTCGCTCACTGTCTGTGGCTGTGTGTCGTATCAGTTTCAGATGTATTCGCGCTGTGCCTGTGGCTGGCTCAGGTTACCGTGTTAATGTCAGGTGTGATGCATTCCCTTGGTCTCTGTGCCGCGTGCAGTATCGCTGTCTCATCTAGTCAAACGTCTGATGGACTCATTAGGTAAAACGTGTGGGGTCTGTGTGAGGACAATAGCGTTCGATATCAACTGCGGTCGTAAGTGCAGCTCTGTCACAGCCACAGTCACAGTCTAAGCCGCAGTTCCCGCCCAGCCAAAGTTACAACCCCAGCCGTTGTCGCAGCTGCAGCCGTTGCATTCACATCCTGAGCGCATTTAAGCCGCTCGCTTTGACTATGCATAAAAGGCGCAGTGGTCCTGAGTGATGGAGGTGGTGTGATAGCTGAGATATATCGCAGTCAATTGTGCTTGGGGCGCACCCAGGGAGTGTCGCGCTGTACCCGGGGCGGGCCCAGATGTACCCAGATGTGCCCTGTCCTTCGAACAGGATCCGGCCTCTTGGGACGCCGAGCGGCCATGACCCCACATTCGGCTCGCCTCAGAGCGGCTGACGGAAGGTGCGGCCGCGCGCACACGCGCGCCGCTCGCTGCACGGCCGCCGCCTCCGCGGCCGCGCGACTCCGCCCAGCGGCGGCGCATTGTACATGCGTGCGAATGAGACGCCAAGGTCGGCGCACCTGGAGCCGAGGCGGACATGGCTGCCACCTGAGCTGCATGCCTAATGAACGCCGTCACAGGGATGCCTGCAAACGACGGACCTTGGAGGCGGCGGCGGCGACGGGCGGAGGCGGCAGGACGGGCGGAGGCGGCGGTGGTTGCGGAATGGGCGAAGGCGGAGGCGGCAACAGAACAGGCGGAGGCGAACTGCAGCAGTGCTGGAATCGGTCGATAACTCCTGGGTTGATGCGCGAAAGATACCTTGGTGGAATAGCCCTCGTGGTGAGGTTGATGAGGACACTTTTCGTTGTGGTGACCGTTGAGGTAGTAGCGTTCTTTCTGAAAGAGTGAGTGCCCGTCCACTGCCGCGACCAGACCTTCCACCTGACCTCCGGGACCCTGTCAAAACGACTAACGAGTGGTGTGCTCGTGGGATCTCTGGATCTCATACCCTCTGGGTTGTCAGATGCCCGCTGCCGGTAGACAGGTGCCACCAAGGCCAACAGCCTCTTGATAGTCATACATTCGTCTCCGAGTGCTGGACGTTGAATGTTCGGACGTTGCATCAGGTGGGGTCGAAGGAGACGGGCTTCCAAGAGGAGAGTGGTCCATCGCAGACCTAAAGCCGTCTGTCTTTTTCTGCTTTGCTGCCGTGTGGGCTCGGGTCACGACGGCAAGTAGAGAAAGATTGGCGGACAATGGTCCAATCAGCGACGGCACTCGGCGGCGCGGCGGTTCGCCCTTTCATCATCCGCCGCGACTTCCACCGCCAGCACGGCAATGGATGGGGGAGGGGGATGGAGAGTGTTGAAGCCGCGTGCCAGGTCGACTGTTATGCGTAAAAGCGCCTAAATTGACGCTGAGATACATATAGGAGCGTCACTCCCAAACTTGTTATATCCCGTAGTTTGAGTGTTTGAAAGGATTCGTGCGCAGGGCATTTATTTTAGCTGAGGAGTTTCGCTTTATAAGTTTTTTTTTTCGTTCCAAACATACTGTGCTGCTTTTAACAATAAACATACTGGAGAGTGCCTAAAATCGTTTATTTTTCCGTTTGAATGATGACACTTCTGCGGTTGGAGTGAAGGGAGCAATAAATATCGCACGCTATCTAATTACCACCATATCTCTCATCCACAATCATGATTTCAGGGTAATCTGTGAAATCCCTTCTGGGGGGCCCACTTTCTCACTTCATTACTTTCGGTGCTTTGCTCCATTGTCGACACGGAAGGCGTCGCTCGCAGTTCACACAGTCGCGTCGCTCGCAGTTCACACAGTCACACACTTACCCTTCCACTAGCTGTTGAACCAGCACTCAAGAGAGTTCGGCTCGCTTTCACATGCGTATCTAGCGTGGTGTAAGCGGTCCAGGGCGTCCTATCACCCGGGCTCTGGTGGTCCGATCGGAGTCCATTTGTTCTCCCCTCCCCTCCTGTCCCCACCTCGCCAACCGGGCGTCCTCGGGACACTGTGTCTCCTCAGCAAACATTGATTCAGCCGGCAGCGCGACGGACTTGTCGCCACCGGCTTATTTACACGAGCTCTGTGCATGGCAAGCAATGGCCTTGGGCTGCCGAGAGTGGCACTACATCAATATACACAGTCGACCGCGGCGCCTGACCTCGGCGCCGCCCTCAGCTCAGCGGCGCACCATCGGCGCCGCGCGGCGCGGCGCGCGCACTGCCGACGGCAGCTCGGAGAGGCGCGATGGGACGCAGACGGCAGGGAGAGGCGCGATGGGCCGCAGGCCGCACGGAGAGGCTCAAAGGGCACTGGGCACCGAGAGGTTGGCAAGGGCCCCTCGGGCCCCCACGCTGGGCGATGAGACGCACGGGGGGACTTGGAGTTGCGCGGGGGATTTTGAGGCGCACGGGAGAGTGCGCAAATCAGAACTTACCCTGGCGCACGATTAATCCACAAGCTTTTACAGAGGAGAGCTGTTTCCATTTAATACAACGTTTCTTTGTCACACTACGGTAAAGTAGTGATCGTTGTGCCGTTGGCAACTCGGTTTTTGACGTTTGATGACCTTTGATGACCTGGCCTTGGATCTCACTAACGATCAAACTAGGCCACTCTGATGGTTTTGATAAGCTCTCGTACACCCTGGGTCCCCTGGCGGTTGGCGCCATTCACTTGGGCTGCACCTGACATTGTGTTCTACCAGCAGCAGTAGAGCAGGGACCTGCTGTTCCTCTCGGCTCTTGGACTTAACCCTCTTTCATTTAGCACGTGGTGATCTAACTCTACATTCACCTGGCTAGAAAACTATAGAAGTCAAAAACACTCTGAAACATGACCCCAACAAAACATCTAAACGTAAAGTATCTCCCTAGTTAGGATGAAATTACCTTGTGTCAAGTGTCCCCAGATCTAAAACGTATGCTGTTTGTTGGCACTGACGGCAATTCTAGTTAATAATACTCGATCACTTTGATGTGTCTCAGTTTCAATGCAACATCTTGACTATGTTGCAGTGAAATACTCCAAAACCATTCATCATTAGCAATTCTTCGTTGGTTATAGCTTAACCCGTAAAATCAAGATTGACATTCACACAAACTAAACTCAATATACAATCACAGACTGTTCAGCCTCTGTTAGCCAGTGTATAGCCCGGCGCTGAGGGCGCGGCTGTGGCATGCCGGCGCGGTGCTGCCCGCTGAAGGCTGTCGCCCGCAGCCGTGCAGGGACCGACCGCGCCGCGAGGAGCGGCCGCTCGCGCTGGCAGCAGGCGTCCGGTGATGGATGCCGCCCGACTGCAGCCCCCCGGCGCCCGCCGCGCGCCCGCCTGTCAAGGACTCCGGAGTCACGGCTGCCGACTTCAGGCGGGGAGTGGTGACTCGGAGTCCGAGCGAGTCGGGCAGCGGGTGACTCAGAGTCCCGGGTGGCAGGAGTTGGTCCAGGGGGCCGGGGATAGCGGCGGCGCCGACATCCCTCGATGTCAATGATGGTTCACAGAGTGCTACTGGGATGCTGATAACTCTGCAGGCGGCTAGCGACAAGATACTGCACACTGCACAACCTCGCGATCCTGCACACTGCACAGTGTACCGGCAGAAGCAGTGGCACGTACCGATCCGCTCCTGAACATCTGCTACTGCGCCCCTGGAACTCGCCTGGAATGTGAAAAAGTAGAGTCTAATCTAATGACGGTCGTAGTATGACTGCAGAGCTTGAAACCTGTAGTTTTTGGTGGTTTTATGATTCATTCCTCATGATTCATCTCTATCTTCCTTCATATGCGCATTGCACGATGCATATGCAGAAGTGGAGCATATGCAGATGCACATATGGTGCTTGATGCCTTTCTGGAACTGTTGGTTTGGCAATGTTTACATAGATTCCAAGGACCATGGACGATATAATGCCTCTGGTATGCCAACCTTGGTGACCCCTGCATCGATTGATTATCAATGTGAACATCAAAATCAAACAGCATATGCCCCATGCCATGTGACAGTAGTATATTTCGGAATCTACAGAGAATATGTCGTAAATGTTTGATAAAACTTCGTTTTGATATTGCCTTGCCTCTTCATATTGATAATTGATTAAAATAGATGATCAATCATTTTTTGATATTCTTTTTCGGCTCATGTCGCATATTAAAGACTCTGGAGTCAGTATGAGGTTCATGAGTATTCAAGTGGACTTTTGCGAATGCACTCGCAAAGATGGGAACAATTTATGTCTCCGCTCCCCGGAGCAATTTAGGTGGACAAAATGGAAAAGAGTGCCTTCTTCACTAGAAGCACAACCTGCTCCCAGCCAATGGACACCGGACACGTTCTGTCTCGATTAGCGCCATGAAACTGCTCAAAATGGGCTCCTAGGAGCCCGTTATGCTGGAGGATCTGATGGCGTCACCCTTCACGTATCTACCTTGCTTGTGATAAGGATGAAACAAACATAAACAATATTTCTACTAACCTCTAGTCATTCTACGGCA